CTTAGCCATTTCTTGTACGTCATTTTATATGGAGTTTTTGGCGTTCTTGAGAGCTGCATACAGGCCTTATCTTGTTAATTCAGTTACCTAGTGAATAAAAATGGTCCGAAAATTATTGAAAACTTTTTCGGTTTTTGTATGTCTATGTTATATTTAAAGGCGTACAGGTGTGGTCACTACCCGATTTATACAGTTCTTAAAATCGAGCCGAATGACGGCAATGCGACTTATTCGATATTAGATATCGTTCTAGTACTCACATTCACTAAATTACGGTAGGTAGAGCCACATCGATTTTAAATGCATTCTTTAAATTTTTTGAAAAAAAAAACGCAGATGCATCTGGTCTCTTCATCATATCTTTGACAATGAATATCCGATCGATGAATGATAACTACCAAATTGAAATATAACTTAAAGTTATTATAATAGCGCTATAATGGAATGCTATCAAATTACAATAAAAATATTTTAGTAAAATTAAAAAATTTTAATAAGAATACCTGTTGTATTGATAAAAGTCAATTTTTACATAGTATGCGTAGATATGTAATAAGATATCATTTTCTTATGCGTGCGATTTCGAAGTTCACACATTCGTTATTCGCCTAGCGTGCTTTGTTACACTTGGCAATATATGCGCGGCCTCTTGCGCGTAAAATAAGAGCATAGTATTTAACAGTCTTGCAATTTACCTCGTCAACCAACATATTTTCACAATTACAAAACGATTAAAGGAAAATAAAAATTTCGACCCACACTAATGTACGTATATTTTTAACATGAAATGTGATTTTGCTTAGAAACTAGTACTAGGCACAAATTTCGCAACAAAGTGCTTAGTACAGATACTACATATTAAGTACATTTCACAGAAATAAAATTTCATAGTTCTCCTAAATAGAATATCAATGAGAAGATCGAATTCCGCTGAAATAAGTACCCATTCGTGTAGTAATTAGCCGTTGTCTACTTCCTAGCAGTAAGTGAAGAAGGAACCAGTCCATCGAATTAAAACCTAAAAAACCTAGATGACTTCGAACATTTTTGTTGTTTGTATACCCTCAATTGTAGAACAATTTGAAATTTTTGAAAAAAAAAATTATCAATGCAATGTCCTCGTCAGAAAATAATGGCCCAACTTTTTGAAATGTTATTAAAATAATAAAAAATAATTTACTCATTCTACCTGGTTCGAAATCGCTGTGGAAAATTCCGTACTATGGAGCAAAAAAAAAATCGATATTTTAGCATAGCCATATTATCGGCAATGAAAGAAGAGAGAAGTGATTCCTGAAATGAAATAAGTGCTCCTGCAACAGGTAGGCCATTTTACTTCAATAAAATTACTAGAAATAATTAAATATTTATTACCAATGTGTAATTGTCGATTCATTAAAGCGCATGCCAGTACATACATACACGCATAAGTAGGTATTTACATTATATAAATCATTACATATGCACACACATTTATACATAGGTACCTACGGATATGTATGTTTACATTCAGGTGCATATGCAAATTACTGTATGAATACATTATCCACAATCTACACACTTCATTTATATTGCAAAACTGTGCCAAGTGTCTCATTTGTTAATGGCCTCAAGTGCTATCAGCTTTAAATGCTCTTCTTCCTCTAAATTATACTCTACAGATGTCCCTGACCCATATTTGTCTTACATTTACCAGTAGCCAAGTAAAATAAATTTAAAAATTTTGCACATGTTGTGAAGCACATGTAAATACATACATATGTATGTATGTACATAGCGAGTAGGCACAGAAATAGTTGTACCAAAACGCAGTCAAAACTGGATTACAAATAAATTTCAAAACTGAGCAGTTGTTAAAATACGGTTGTTGAGAAATGCACTGCGACCAGGATACCTCTTGCTCCCAACAGCACCGCGGTCAGTCCTGGCTCCCTTTGGAAAACCAGTAGATTGTTAAGTGACACTTGTGAAACTTGTTCATCTCTGTATTTTTGTTCAAGCAGCAATATCCTCGATAGAGCCGCAATTGCAAATAACAGAAAGATATTTTACTTGTCCAACGCTTTAACTGCCTAAGCAAATTTGTCCGAGTCCAAAGCGAATGCCAATGCCAGTCGTTTCTATTCTGAGCCAACTGACGCCAATTGGAAATACCCAGCAAAATCAAGTACTTCTCCACGTGGTCTCTCCATCGTCTGTCTCTTTCTCTGCTATCACATTCGGGCTGGCGCGTTTGTGTCCATTCAGCTAATCGTTCGGTGCCTTTGGTAATAGAAAGGTATTTTGGGTAAAATTCTAGAATTGGAAGGACTCGGGTCTTCCGAATACAAGTTTAAAGAAATCTGTTTTTGGCAGAAAATTCTAGATGAATTCGACCGGGCAAACACAGAACGCAGTTGGTAAGCAGATCAGGTTGCTCACTGGGTACCTAACCGGTTAATGGTGAAAGGCACAGTAATGGAAATGGTGATGGTAAAGGGTAATTGCAATGGTAATGGTATTGATAATTACAATGGTAATTGTAATCATAATGATAACTATAATGACAATGATAATGGCAATGGAAATGGTAATGGCAGTGGTAATAGTGTTAGCAATTATAATGCTATTAGCAATTGTAATTGTAGTGGTTATAATAATGGCATGGTAATGCTAATCATAATGGTTATAATCTTGAAGTCGGAGAAACGTGAAAACATTGTGTTGGTAATAGTAATGGTAATGGCGAGGCTAAAGGTAATAGTATTGGTAATTGTAAGGTGAATAGTAATTGTAATGGTAAAGGTAATGGTGACAGCAATAGTGATGCTGGTGGTAATGGAAATTGTAATGGTAATGATAAGGGCAATGGCAATGGTTATGGCAATGTCAATGGGAATGGCAGTGATAATGGCAATGATAATGGTAATGGCAGTTGTAATGGTGATTGTGATTGTAATGGTAATCGTTGTAATTAAGATATGGTAGCGATATGTCGATGGTTTGTTAATAGTAATTATAATGGCAATAATATTTAACTCGAAGAAACTTGGACACATTGTGTCGTTAATTGTAATAGTAATGGTAATGGTAATAACAATGGCAATGATAATGGTATTGATAATTATAATGGTAATAGTAATGGTAATTGTAATGGTAATTGCAATGGTGATGGTGATAATAATGATAATAATGGTAATGAGAATGTTAATTGCAATGGTAGTGATATTGACAATGGTATGGTGAAGGAAGGGGTAATGGTAATAATTATGGTTTTGCAATTTATTTTATGTCCACACATCCTTACTTAAGCCATTCGCAAAATACTTCGCGTAGTTGTATTCGTGTATTCATTGCATGCCTTTGTTATTAAAGTAAAGGGTACACACCGCTTAGATATACTTATGTACATACATACATACATATACCAGTACATACAGTGACACAAGCAAATGACCTCGTGTTGTTTTATGTTAAAGATTCGTAAAACTTTTCCATCTAATTTTTTTTGTTATTTTTAAATAAAAAATATCGTCTACACTTTAAACAAAACCGTGTAAATCACAGTTTCAAACTGTATAAAAAAAAAATTATAAAAATTCAAGAAATTTTCATCAAAATTTCACCTTTTTATTCTGATTTTTTAGGAAATTTTTTTAGTATGCAGTTTTATAGCTCATACAATTTTAGTCTAATGAAGTGCAAGTTTCAAACGACTTAATAAAAATCGCGTTGATTTTTAAGATTTTTTTTTCTGAGGTTACTTTTTCAGGTTTTTAATATAACAAGCGCAAAATACAAAAACTTGCATTGATATTTTGAAATTTTCTTGCTGGCCGCGTCTCTCGCATTTTATTTTATAAGAAATTCATACTTATACATATGAAAAAAAGTGCAACAATCCGTCACCGAAAAAAAATTCTCAAAAATCAACGCGATTTTTTAGCCGTTTGAACCTTTCACTTCATTAGATTAAAATTGTGTGGGCTATAAAACTGCTTACCCAGAATAAAAATTAAATTATGATGAAAATTTGTTGAATTTTCCTAAATTTTGTATAAAGTTTGAAACTGTTATTTACACGGTTTTGGTTAAAGCTTAGAAGAATTTTTATATAAAAATAACAAAAAAAATTTAGCTCGATAAACATTACGAATATTTGTATAAAATCAACACGTGGTGATTTGTTTGAGTCACTGTATGTACCTACATAACATACATATGTACATATTTGCATACTTGCAAACACACTTATGAGCGAATAGCCCACTGCAATAAACAAACGCAACAACTTCAGGTTAAGTATTTAGTAACCAAAACGTGGTATGTCGCATGTACATATGTATGTAGGTATGTTGTATGCAAGTATGTACAAGCGCAAGTACATTGATTGGTGCATGACAATGTTCTTATATTCACATGAAAACGTTAGAGAAATTTGATGAAAACTGTCGTGGATATGCATACGAAATGAAATGGATTTACCATTTTGCCTTGTGCGAGTGGCGTCGCATTGGGGATTGAGGGGCGCTCATCAGCAGCGTTGAATGGCAGTTTTTGGATTCGTATCGAATTTGGTTAGACTGACTATAGCAACCGCATATAACCCCAATAAACAAACTAATAAAACATGTCAAGAAAGTGAGTACAACGTAAAATACTTGCAAACGCAATGAAATTGCCGCGAGTCAAATAACAAACGAACTGCAGCAACACAGCTGAACAGTAAAGAGCCAAGAGCTAGTGAGCTCAAACGGCAGCTCAAATATCGGATATTTTCGAAAGTACCTACATACATACAGACATATATTTTAAGTTTATAGACAAAGTCAAAATACCAACGGAGATTGTGGATATTAAATTGAAAATTTACTCCGATTGTCAGCTGCGTGCTGCATGAAGAGGGAGCGCAGGCACAGCGGCGTATGGTCACAAGATAGGGACAAACGAGAAATGCCAATCGAATACTTTGTAAAAAAAATTTTATTGCAGAAAGTTTGTCAGAACGCTGCAAAGTTATTACTGTCTGTAAGCAAAGTAGTTGCCAAAGTTGCGCAATAACAAGTTCAGCGCGAGTGACATAAAGTTAGCCACCACACCCAGCGTCGCGTCAACAAGCAAATCAACTACACAGCTGCAAATGCAAGTTAAATATTAGCAAAGTCCCAGCTATGCGCACGTTATCTGAATCATCATGAAGAATTGGCTGAGCTGCGTCGGCAGAAATATTGCGGCGATCGTTGCAAATAGGGTGGCGCAAAGGCGAAGCGGAAAGCAACGCATCACACAAAGGTGCATAGGAAGACGGAAACGCATAACAGCATGTCCATATCGAAATTGCGTAGCCGGCCAGCAGTTCTGACGCGGCAGGAGCATGTGAAAAGTCCCACTGGTGGTGGAACGGAGGTAGTTGGTGGGGGTGTGGGTGGCGGTGATGGTGGTGCCACCGTTGTCGATGTACATAAAACTGCCAAATCAACAACGCCCGCTCTGACCACAAAACTACTGAATGCTGCAGCGACGAATGCGGCTGTTGTTGCCGCCGCTACTGCGGCCACAGTAGCTGCAAAGCAACAGCAACAACAACAACAGCAACAGCAAACGAATCAACTTCCACAAGCCGCACAAACCTATTTACCTCAAACATCACTGCTGAAAATTGAACCATTTGTTCCTAGTCTCACCACACGACTGCGTCGTCCTTTTGGGCGTTCCTATACTACACTGTGCAATACAACAACGACTGCGGCAGCTGGTAGTAGCAACAACAACAACAACAACAACAACAAACGTAAAATAGCAGCCAACCCAAATACTGCAGCTGCCGCACTCAATTCCCCACTGCTGGGCGCTGCGATTGATAGTCAACTTGCCAAAGCGAATGCTGCTAGTACGCGTGCAGCAGTCGCCGCACGCCTGCGACGTAATCCGGTGCGTACAACGGTCAAACGCCAACGTTCGAAATCCACATCCTCCTCTGCTTCTGCCACGCATCGGCGACCAGCAACAGCGTATCGAAATTTGTCACCGAATATGTTGTTGAACGGCGAACACACGACGGCACCGACGTGTGCGGAGGGGAGTGGCAATAGCAGCGCTAGCGGAAATGGTAACGGAAACTGTAATAGTAACGGCACGGCGGCTATTGTCACATTGCAGCCAAATGGTATTTGTCGCATAACACGCACCGTAGAAGACCGCGAAAAGCAACCGGATCGCATTAATTATGATCGACGCGGCCTGAGCGCAATACCGATATTCGAATACGAAACACAGCTGCGGCTGTTGTCGCTGCAACATAATCTCATCAATATATTTCACATACCAAAAGAAGAACCACCACCACTACCGCCACCGCCACCAACACCCACACCAGCACTAACGACAATATTACCTGCATCGTCGCCCGCCGAGACACAGCCGGAAGTTTGCCACATACCGGACGTGCAATCGGAATTCGGTAGAAGTGAACGAAATTCGTCCACGCTAACTAACGGTGTCAGTTCACCGAAGCCACTTAGACGTCAAAATGAGCGCACCGTTGTTATCGGAAGGCCAACCGGATCGGGTAGTAACGCCGGTGTGCGGCTATCACTTGCTTTAGGTACAACGAATGCGCGTCAACTGAATGGTCATGCGTTAACGCCACCGCCCCCGCCACCCACGCCACTGGGACAGATACAACCACTGCCACATCCGCCACCACCACAATTGTACCAGCAACTGCTTCAGCAGCGTCTAAACGGCATTGCGGGAAACAATTTAGTTAAAAACTTACATTACAATGCTCCATTGCTGCCGCTGGCACGGCAACCGACGCCATGTCGTTTTGCGCTCAAGCGCTCCAAAAGTTTTATGACCAATATGCCACGTCAACTGCATAGCATACAGCAAAATTTGTTGAAGACACAATTGGCGCGCGTTAAACTCGGCGCGGTCGGTGGCGATGCGCGTTTAAAAAGTTTCGATTCGAACGCCAGCGCGCTTACCAACGCCACAGACTCGTCATCCTCTACTTTGGCTACCTCAACGACGACGACAACAACAACAGGTGGCACCAATAAAACGAACAATTCGAATGGCACCACTTTCGTGGGTAGTGAGTTGGACGAAGACGATCCCCTACAGCAGCTGACCGTCAAGAATAGACAGCTAGCTGCATCTTATGGCGCAATTTTCCAACATCTCGTTTTTCTCGATCTCTACGACAATCAAATCGAACGCATAGGCAACTTGGACGGCCTTCCCGCGCTCTCCGTGCTGTTGCTGGGCAAAAATCGTCTCACCGATATCAGCGGTCTTAGCTCTGTGAAGCAAACGCTACGCGTGCTCGATCTGCATGGCAATAAAATCACCAGCATCGCCGGTAAGCTGAATTGTCTGCAGGAGCTTAAGTCGCTCAATCTGGCTGGCAATTTGCTACGCCAGATAGGTCACAATGATTTTTGTGGACTGGCTCAATTGCGCGAATTAAATTTGAAGCGTAATAAAATCAAGCGCATCAATGGATTTCATTATCTCACAGCATTGGAACGTCTTTGGCTGTGTCACAACGAGCTGCATCGCGTAGACGACATGGCTTCGATCGCCAAGGCAACACAGTTGCTGGAGGTAACCATTGAGAATAATCCCGTTTCGCTGGCGGGCGATTGTGTCTCATTCTTGGTCAGCTACTTACCGCATCTGCAATCGCTCAGTCAGATGCCCATCACCGAGCAGGTACGCAGCGCTGCAATGTCTTGGCGAAGAAATAAAGAGATTTCAGATACGCATTATGCTCACCTTTCGCCCGACGCCTACCAGAGTATCAAGCGCGAGGAGGTTATCTCGAATGCGCGCACGAATTGGGAGTTGCTAAGGTCACAGCAAACGATACAGCAATACGGTGCAACGCATAAACAGACACCACAACAGCAACCACAACTGCTCTCCACTTACACAACAGCGCCACGTATTGCGAAGCCCAGCGAACTGGCGCGTATAAATGAATCCAATGAGGCAGTGGGCGATGCATCGGCAGAGGGTGCATTGCTTGTGGCTGGATTTGAATCAGGATTGCAAGAATTTATTAAATTGCCGCCTATAGAGCAGCAGCAACAAAAGCACCAACACAAACCGCGCAGTGAGTTACAGCAGACACAGACAGGGACACCGAAATCAGGACAGTCGGCATCAATTGCGCCTAATGCGGTTGGCAAAGAGAAGTCAACAACAACAACACTCATCAGACAGCAACCACATAATGTGAGCAATGTGAGCAGCATGGCCAAGTTCGACGAAAGCAAGAGCAACAACAATGTTGACAATACAACAACAGGCAGCAACAGCAATAGCGCACGTTGTTCCGGTTCGTCCGGGTCCAGTTTGGGACCGAATGTTCACTCCTCGTCCAGCTGCTTCAGTTCGGACAACGAGGACTCCACCGACCCGCAACAACGCGTCACGCGCATACACAAATGCCAGAAGGTAGCTGGCCAACAGCAGCGACGTGGTGCGGCAAAAGAAGTTGCGTGTGAAAATGCTGCTGTAAAGGGCAAAAGCAAAAAAGCCGCGGCACAGAAGACAAAAACAATCGACAGTGAGGCCACGCCTGCCCACAAACTAAATGGCGGCGCTGAAGGAGACGAACAAATATCTAATATAACCGGCAGCAAAGTGACCACTGGGTCAGAATTGAAGGCGAATAGAGTTACCACAATGCATACATCAAATGATGCCAAAACAACAAACTCCGACAATGTAAATTTTCCGACAGACAAACAGCCATCAAGTACAGCTGCCGAAGAAAATGCTACAGCGAAGGCCGCCGCCGAGTCTCAGTCAGTCAGTCAGGTGGACAATAACTCTTCAATGCTAATGCCGCGCCGCACTGCCAGTGCCAGCAAAACAATGGCGATGCCACAACAGAAAGCAGCAACAACAGCCACAATTGCAAGCGCATCCACAGCTCAAATTACCGGCCACGGCAGCTTACTAAGTCTGGGATTTAAAGAGCACACGAGCGCATCTGTGCAGCCGTCACAACCAACAAGCAGCAATGGAAACGGCGCGGCAACGGGGCAAGCGGCGCCAGGCAGCGCAACAACGCGTACAACTTGTCGCCGCCTAATGAGGTCACATACAGTCGTGGGCGCCAGCAGTGGTGGCATAAATAACTGCTTACCAGCCGCAGCTAATAACGGAAATGAAGCGTACGCCAATAGGCGCACAGCAAACACCAACAACAACAACAACAAAGTCACCACAAATGCCACGTCGTCAACGACAACAGCAACAACAACAACGCCATGTAACGGTCAAGTGCCAACTCAGCCGACTGTCACATGCATAGTGGCGCCGCCGCCACTTAGCACAGGCAACACTACAAATAACAGCCACCACTCCATATTGGGTGGCCAACGCGCAACGGCGGCCAACAAGGCGGAACGTGAGGCGCGCGAACGTGAGCGGGAACGTGAACGAG